GAGGAGGGTCTCTTATTATATAAAGGAGACCCTCACATTGTAAAAGGGGCATCGGATATAATACAACTCTCTCATTTTTCTAGCTTTCTCTCTGTGAGCACGTGATTTTTGCCCTAAGCAAATTAATTCCAAAAGTTTCAAATAATTGATTTCTTTATTATTTTACAATTTTTTGTGAATTTTTGTTTGAGTTTTTGTGTTAATTGGTTGCATTCTTCATAAAAAATACAGAAAATATGCACATACATTTAAGGATTTTAATTTCACAATTGTTAGTATTAATTAGGTATTAATTAGATTTAGAATAAAGAAAAAAATATAATAATAAGTCTTGTTGCACTCTTAATTGTTATTTGTTGCGTTTTATTTCTAAATAGAGTTTTAAGTAATTTTAGGAAGTTTAAATAGTTTAATTGAGTCTTTGTCTTGTTTTAGCATTTTTAAAATTAAAGAAAAATGAATAAATACAAAATACAAAAATACAAAATGAAATACAAAAGAAATGCAAAAGGGGCTGCCAGAAATTGGGCCCAAATGGCTGAGCCCAAATAAAATAGGCCTGATCCGTCCCAGACCCGTCCAACCTTACCTGGTCCAATTCCCCAGCCCACGTGAAACGACGTCGTTTGGACTCGTTCAATCAGGACCGTCGAGGTTCCTTGATCGAACGGTCCTGAAGCTGGTTTTACTTAATATATATATGTCCGAAACACACCCCCTACCCCCTCGTTCATCTCCCCCGCACCCCCACTCTCACATCTCACCGGAAATCGCCACACTGTAGCCCCACCGTACCCCAATGTATCTCCACCCCTTTGCCACCGTCCGCCGCCGGCCGGAAATCGCCGCCGCCGGCGGCGAAGCCCCAAATCACTCAAAAAATACACCCCGGCTTCCCCTTAACCTCCTCTTTATGAATCCGAGCATAGTTTTCCTCAAATCCTCCTCTAACTCTTCGAATAAAAGAAAACCTAGACGCCGCCTCCGCCGCGTACGGCGGCGCCGCCCAAAATTCCGCCCCAAATTACACCCTGGGCTCTTCTTACCTTCCTACCCCTGAATCTTGAACTAATTTTTCTCAAAACCAACCGGATTTGCTCGAATCTTAGATCTAGGGTTCCGGATAAGGGTCTCGAAATTCCGTTGGGTAAATTGATCCTTACGTGATGATATTCGCCTATTTTTTGACAAAGAATAGGCAAATAACATCACTTGGGGATCAAATTCGAGGGCGATTGAGGTCGGTTGCAGGGTCGTGTAAGTTTCTTCTTATACCTTTCTTTTACTGTTGTTGCTTTATTTGTTTTTAGGTATTATTGATCTCTTCCAGTGTTAGTTTAGGAATTATATTAGAATTGACTGTATTTGAGTTTCTGTTTGTTCTTTAGTTTTGATTGTTTTCTTTAGTTTCTTAGAATTGATTCTGATTAAATGTGACTCCTGTTTTCGAATACTGATATGACTCTTGCTTGATTGTTACAAGTCCAAATAGTTCGTTAATTGAAAACAATATAGATTTTAAAAGAATAAGCTAGTTCTGTTAAATTGTGAACACTGCCAGGTTTAGGTCAAGCTAACCATAGTCAGTAATAACTAAGTTATGAGGTTCAGTTTTAGTTGGTATGGTTCAGTAATTCTGGTACAATTAAAGGGTAGTTTGGGTAGGGAAAAGGGTAGTTTTATTAGGAATAGTAATTGTAAAGGTAAGGGGAGGGTAGTGTAGGAATTGTAATGGGTATAGGACCTTCTAGAACAAGACTTTAGTGTAGTTTTGGTGAAATAAGTGTTGTTACTTGGGTAATAAGTCTTAGAAATGAGGGACTAAGAAACTAAATAAGAAAGGGACTAAAAAGAAAACTAAAATCTGAAGTTAACCTTAGGTTTTGCCTATAAAAGGCACACACATTGCCTTGTTTAGCAAGTTTTAGACCTCTGAAAAATTCCCAAAAACTTCCAGCTTATAATTTTTCCCAAAATCCTCCTCTTAAGATCTTAAATTCTGCAAGAAAAAAAAAACCAAAAAAAAAAATAACAGAAAACACAAAAACTCAAAAAATACTGTTCCATTGAAATTCCCCTTAGATTAATTTTAAATTTCAGTTGTTAGTTCAAAGTTCTAGCTTAGATAGGGATATATGCCTGATTGCTGAAGTTTAGAGGTTGTCCTGGGGTGATTTCGAGTTTGTTTGGGTTTATTCAAGTTGTTACGAGTGGTTTACTGGTTGAAATTTGTCCTGGGCTGTACAATATTGCTTCTGGGTTTACAATAAATCTCAAGCTGTTGATTCCTGTTACTATACTGCTGTGTACTGCTGCTGACTCTACCTTCTTCTTACTTCTCTCTAATTTCCAGGTACTTTTTTCAACCTCGAATGACATGTGAAACTTGAATCAATATCGGAAGAGATCATGAAATACAATCTGCTTGTCTTACGAATTCCTTAGTAGTTTACTTGGTTTAAACACATGTTATAACATTATATTATTCATGTTAATCGGACTGTATGAACTGTTATTTTTCAGACTTATGTGAGTATTATGAGTAGAATACTAGCTGTCGATAATCTCAGTTTAGGTTATTAGATTAATTTGAGATTTAAGGTTATATTAAGATGCCATTTGAAAGCAGAATCTAAAGTAACGTATGAGCATGCTTGCAATGAAGCTGGCCCTGTAGCTTGAACATAATATTAGTCTTAGTTTCTTCATCAAACATTTGTGGTCGATTATTAGACATGTGTTAAAGATAATAGTCATATCATCTGTTTGTTCAAAAATGATTCAGAAACGAAGTGGAAGCTCCGGTAGTCCCTTTCATATTCAGTTTGCGAT